TCCCCCACCGCGACCCCAGGTCTGCTACGGAACCCCCTGAGGGCATTCCAACACCCCAATGACATCCGCTCCACCCCGGAGAACCCTTTTCTTGCATAGGGAATGTACATCGCTCTGGAGCCGCCACGGCATCCTGAGCGACACAGCCTGGCCCAGAGCACGCAAGGCACCCCTTAGAATCCCTCGGGCACCACTCCGAACCTCAGGGCTTCAGCACCCTGGGAAACTCTATTTTGTTTCAGAGGTCTCCGGAGGCATGCCGTAGAACCCCAGTGTACACAGACTCCCGAGGCGCCTCTCAGGATCCCAGCCAGGGCTTTAGCACCCTGGACATCCCAGCCTGTTCGGAACCCTTTGGGATTCCCCCTTGGAGCTTTAGTGCTACCATAGCACCCTGGGGATTCCCCCGCCTGGTCCACAACTCTCCAGGAAGATTTGGAACCCTATAGCCACCCACAGCACCTTAGGGATCCTATTCTGGTTCAGAATCCTCTGGAATCCTTTGGCCTCCATCGGAATTCCAGAGCCACCCAGGCTGTCTGGGAACCCCAGGGTACTCATGATTCCTGTGGATCAAAATCTAGGCAGACTCCCCTCAGAACTCCAGTGCATCCCACAGCCCCTGGCACCCTTGTCTGGCCCAGAACCCTTGGAAACATGTCTCAGAACTCCAGTGGAACTTCCAGCCTCTGGGGTCCCAGCGTGGCTCTGAACCTGTGGAGACTCAAGTAAAGTGTCCAGGAACTCTCGGCGAAATCCCCTTACGTGCCACACACTTCCCCATATCTGGCTCTCCCTCTGTGGAGGGAATTCTTCCTGAACTCCATGAAGCCCCAAACAGGTACTTGTGTTTTGAATGTTTCTTGCTGCAGTTACACCTCCCATCTGAGATACTACTTCAGGCCACATTTCCCATTCTTCTACATGACCTGCCTCTGCTCTCCTACCCCTGTGCACATGAAGCATGTTCCTGGACTGCCTCTGGGAACTTACTTCTGGTGCCATCTTGATCTTGGGCCAGTGTTAGTCCCGTTGACCCACCCTGCTGCCCGCCCTTCTCTGTGCCCAGTGCCGAAGGGTGGCACCTTCCTTCAGACACAGACCAAGGGCAGTCTCTGCTCTGACCCGGTACCCCACAAGCTCTTCAGACCCCTAAGACTCCTGTTACGTCCCTTGGGTTTGGCCAACATTGCTCCTGGACCTGTCTAGTAATCCTAGTGCAGCTTTGTCCTCTGACTGACTGTGATCTCAGCCAGCCGTGCTGGACCACCTTTCCTTCCCCACTACCCCACCCCTCCCCTCACACTCCCATCGCTTCTCAGCCTCACCTAGCCACAGGTGGATTCTCCAGGCTCCCACTGGCAGCTCTCCCACTTGGTAACCAGCCCTTTTGGTTCCTGAGTCCCTTCTGGTGCACCCAGATCTCACCAAGTGAGCTCCTCCCCATCTTCAAATTACTCTCACCCAGGGTTACATCTTCCCCTTCCTTCCCAAGCCCGAGTTTTCAGGGGCGCTCGTCCTGGGAAGGTATGGGGCTGTGGGGGTGGCAGCTGATGGCTTCCTCTACTGTTTGCAAGGGCAGGTTGGGGCATTCCTGACTTCTGGCGCCATGGAGGCGGCTTTGTCTGGTTTGGCCATGTGGCTGTGTAGTTTCAGGCGCATGGGCCAGGAACTTTCCTGTGTCCCACTATCCTTGGGCAGGTGGCTGGTGCCATCGCTCTTGGATCTGGTGTGTTTGGCTTTCTGCTAGTGAACAGACAGACTGCTTTGCAAGCCTGCTTGCTACCTGGGCTCTTCTTTGATTGAACCATGTGCAAAGTCCCTGTCCCTGTCCCTGTCCCTTCAGCACCCTCTGCACTCAAAAGTCCCTACCAGAGTCTCTACCAGAGATTGGAGGCCATTCTCTTTGTGATGTGCTGGGCGCTGTCACTTCATGGCTGGGATGCTGAGTAAAGGTGGCAATCTCAGGGGCAGTGGGGAAAAGGCTCCTCTCAGTCTGAACTCAGCTGTGACTATAGCTGCTTTTAGGTTTTAGCCAAGTAACATGAAAAGTTGAGACTTTAGGTTACAGACAGCCACCATGACTGAGCACCTGGCCATCCAGGAGGCTGTGCAGACAGGACCCTGCCATCGGAAGTGCTCTGGTGGCGCTGAGCTGGGTTGTTGGTCTGCATTGTCATATGCCCTTCCTTCCCTGCCAGTTCCAGAGAACCCAATAGCTGCCCCCATTGCAACTGGGAGACCTGTGTGGGGAGTGCAGGGTACTGTAGGTGCACAGGTAGAGTCCCAGCCTCCCTCCATCCAGGGCTGTGCCCTTCAGGGAAGCAGTGGGCTGGACCCTGGGCTGACTCTGCATGCCTTTCTTCTCTGCCCCCTGTCCTGGTGTAGCCTTCCCCAGTGACTCTGAGGTCAGTGCAGAGGCAAGCACAGAAGTCTAGTTTGCTTTTTCCTCTGGGCTTTCCCTATGGATAGGAAGGCCAGGAAAGTGTCTCAAGTGTTCCCTTCGTGCCACCCTGTCCCCCTCCAGTGCTGTCTGTTGTATTGGATTTCTGTGCTCAGCACGGGCATGGCCAGGATTGCTATTCACCTTGGGGAGGGATGAAATGGAATTGGTTTGTTGAGTACAGTGCTGGAAAGATGGGAAGGGTCTGAGAGTCCAGTGGGATTCCTCAGCAGACAGCTAGAGACGGTGTCAGCATCCAGTGTTCCTGATCCCCAAAGAACCTGGGAGCTCCCTTCCCAGAGTCACAGGCCTGGCCTCAGAAGGGGTGCAGTGTGGACTCAGGTGGTACACAGGCCCACAGCCTGGCTGTACTGCACACCAGGAGCAGAGATTTGGCTCAGGTGGGGAGGTTGGGGCAGCCAGAGCCAGCATCTTTTCCTGGTGTCCTGAGTGTTACTGCCTCTCCATAGAAGGCTGTGGGTAAGGTGCTGGAGCTGGAGCCACATCCCTGGTCCTCTGAAGCTAGTCTCAGGCTTTCTTACTCTGCTCTTCTGACCTGCTTTGCAGGGGTGAGGGGCCTGGGCTGGGATTGCCAACAGTTGAAACACCCCTGCCCAGGGCTATTGTCCACCATCTGTCTTAAGTACCTGGTATATCCATGTGGACAGCACACCTCTTCCTTCCCAGCTTCTTCTCGTCCCTCTGTCTTGAGCATTGTGCCGTATCAAAAGGGGTGGCAGTGGTTGGAGCACGGGGCCAGAGCTGCTGGTTAGCTCTATTATTTATTTATTTATTTTTGGCTGTCCTCCAGACTTACCTTGTCTTTTACTCCGGTGCCTTTCGCTTTAGTGATCATCTTAGGGCACCTGCTTCCCCCGGAGTCCTGTCTGGGATTAGAGGGACAGGTTCTAGAGAGTTCAGTTGACTTGGTCTTGTGTCACCGGTGCTCTGTGGGGTCATGGGCCTGGGTCCTGGCTCCTTCTCCATCTGTGTGTGTGGACCTTGCTATGGGGCGGACCTGACGTTTTTTCTTATTAAAGAGGAGAGCCAAGTACATACCAAAGTACTGGCTCCTGGAGCCAGGTGATAGGTGTAATTACACCATAGGGTGACATGTGAATTCCCAGAGGAAAGGGCATTTGTTACAAAGAATTCCCGCCAGAAATCAGGTGAAAGCCTATAGGAAAATTAACAGCTAATGACTGCCTCCTGGGCCCCAGCTGGGTGTGGTAGGAGAAGTAGACAGATGGGTGGATGTGGTGGGTTGATGGATGGATGAATTAGTGGGTGGGTGGGTGAATGGATGGATTGGTAGGTGGATGGGTGGATTGAAGGATATGTGAGTGTATGGTGGGTGAATAGATGGATGGGTGGGTGGCTGGATTTGGAGTCACACAGACCTATGAAATGCAATATTTTGGCCCTTTGCCCATCCACACCTAGAGAGAGCGGTCTCCCTCAGGAAGGGCCTATGAGATGCCCTACATGCTGTTTGCCTGGCTTACTGGATTGGGATTCTAAGTCTGAATGCCCTCTGCCAGTTGGCTTGGCAGCATGAAGCCTCCAGCCTGAGCTTAACTGTCCCCAGATGGCACTCTGAGCCTTTAGGGCACTGCACCCCTTGGCTTCTGATCTCCAGCAGCACGATGGGTGACACTTTCCTGGGCAGGTCCTGGCTGTTTACTGGGTTTCCTGGGTGCAGGCAGCAGGGTCGCTTTAGTTCCCAGTTCTGGGTTGTGCAGAGGCATCCATGCAACAAGTGCTCACAGTCCTGGAGGACCTTCTAGGGCAAGGCAGCGTGAGGAGAGCTGTGCTGGCTGTGGGAGTACCTCTTGCATCAGTACCACTCCACTCCTGAGAACTTGGTTCAACCAGGAGCTGCTTGGTTTGCTCAAGCTTCTGCTGGGCTCAAGGGTTCCAGATAGAGGACAGCAAGGAGGGGCCTGTGCAGTAGTGGCCACTGGGTGGCTGGGGCTCACTCAGCTCAAGCTGCTGCAGCTTCAAGTTCCTTTCTCTTGTTGGTGGTACAGGTCCTGTGCTGTCCCACTACCATTATTTTTGGAAAGTTGTGGCCTCTCAGGGTCCAGCTCAGAAAGGACAAAGATGGTTAGGTATGGGAATCTGGAGCACTGCTGGTCCAGACTGTGGTGCCCTCAGCTAGGGGTGTTGTGGCCCCAGTTGACACCGGCCCCTTGGGCATCACTGTTGCCAGCCAGTGCTTTGGGCACAGTCTACCACAGCCTTGAAACCTCCTGTTTACTTTGGCTTGTGCCTTGAAGTTCTGGCGCCTGTGTCCCCAGCTCCAATGGAACTGTGGTCATTTGTTCTTTTGCAATAGCCACTGTGCTGCCTGTGCTGTGACCCGACTGGGAACCCCATGTCACCAGTACTGTCAGGCAGCTGGCCCAGGGCTCATCTGGCAAGTTGTAGATTCAGGGAGACAGGCCCACAGCAGACAGAAATTCCAAAGTGGCTCAGAGAGTAGAGTCACCAGTGTTTAGGAGTCCAGGGAGCCTCCAGCCAGCAGTGGCCCTATTGATCATGGATGACTGGGGTGCTGGCAGTATTGCTCCAGAGTCAGGTTGAACATTCTTCATCCTGAGCTCAGTGTGTCCACATAGGCATCCATGTAACCCAGGCTGGTCCTCGGCTGAGTCACTGGCAGGCACCAGACCCAGCTATGTGTGTCTCGGAGTTGATGTTTAGTTCTCCCGGATGTCCCCAGTACTTGCTCTCCCCTCCGTGCAGAGTTGCAGCCCTGCCCCCTTGTCCCAGAGATAGGTCTTTGCACTTAGGTCCAGCTGCTTTTTCCTGCCAGTCCTCCGTTCCCTTTCTCCAGCTTCTACCCCACTCACCACCATTTGTGGTTGAGCACGTCTTCCAGATGGCCCTGCCTTTACTCACTCACTTGCATCTCCCACGTGCCTGCCCTCTTGCAAGCCCTCCCGTAGACCTAGAACCATGGAGCTTTTCGTAGGAAAACAAAGGATGCTTGTCTTGGCAGAGATCTGAGTACACAGATTCTGGGGGGCTATGTGGTCAGGTGTCAGGAGAGGAGTTGGGGCATACATAGGTGGGATCTCTAGGGTCTGGGCCCCTGGACAGTGTCTTCACAGGAGAGGGCTAGCAGAGACCAGTGTGTGGAGTTCCTGGCAGGCAGCCTGGACATCCTGCCTGATTGTCTTGCTTATCAAGGTAGAGCACTTAGCAAGCCAGCTTAGCCTGTGGTGACTGTTTCATACCAACTGTGGGTCAGACTGGAGAGACCCCAACACTCAGCTGCAGAAGGGTGGGGAATTCAAGGCCAGCCTGGGCTGGTTGTGAGAACTCGTCTTTTAAAAAAAAAAAAGGTTGGGGTAAAGATGGGTGTGGTGGTGCACACCTTTAATCCCCGCAGACGGACCTCTGAGTTTGAGGCCAGTCCAGTCTACAGAGTGAGTTCCAGGATAGCCAGGACTACAGAGAAACCCTGTTTTGGAAAACCAAAATAATAAATGTATAAATAAATAGAAGACTAGGGTAGCTGGTGGTGATAGCACACGATTATAATCCCAGCACTCAAGAGGCAGGAGGAGCTCGAGTTCAAGGCTAGCTGGTATAGAGGGTGAGTTTCAGGACAGCCAGGGCTACATAGAGAAACCTATCTGGTGGTGAGTGGAGGGAGAAGGCTAGGGTGGAGCGTGGTGGTACATACCTTAAGTCTCAGCCCCGCATCTAAGTCTGGTGTACAGGGCAGGTTCTAGGCTGGCCAGGGTTCCATAGTGAGACTCTGTCTTAAAAATCAGTGTCTAGGGAGCTCCTGGTACTGTAGCTCAGTGATACAGTGCTTGCCTATCATGCATTAATGCCTCTGTTCAATACCCAGTACACACCACAACCCCCGCCCCCAAAAAAAGAAAGTTCTCTTTGGGCTGAAGGGGTGACTCAGTAAAGAATAAAAACTAGATGTGGTGTATATTTGTGATTCCAACCTTGGGGAGCTGGAGACAAGGGGATCCCTGGGGCTGGAGAAACTCAATTGTTAAGAGCACTTGCTACTGCTGTAGAGGGCTGGAGTTGGGTTTCTAGCATCCTCAAACACCTGTAACAACAGTTCTAGGTGATCTTGTTCCCTCTTCTGACCTCCCCTGGCCCCTAGCCCCACACACAGATACACAGATAAACACGTAAATAAAGTAAAACTAAATCTTAGAAAAAGGTAAATAGTATTGCTGAGGGTGTCGTTCAGAGCTGTCTTCTACCTCCATGTATACACACGTGTTCACCCACTTATGCACATACACTACATTAAAAATGTGTAAAAAGGCTGAGGAGATGGCTCATTGACTAAAACACTCACTGTACAAGTATGAAGGTGGAGTTGAGCTCCCAGCACTCATGTCAAAGGCAGACCAGCGCTGGGGAGGCAGAAGTCTCATGGCCTGTTCATTCGGCTTTCTGTTGCTGGGGTAAACACCGTGGCCAAAGACAGCTGGGGCAGGGAAGGAAGGGTTGATTTTGCCAACCTCACAATCACAGCCCATCTTGGAGGAAAATTGACGCCTGCTCCCCGTGCTTTCCTTAGTTCTGCTTTTTTATATGTCCCATAACCACCTGCCCATGGTGGACTGGGCGCTCACATGTCAATCATTAATCAAGAAACACCACAGGCCAATCCAGTAGAAACCTTTTCTCAGTTGAACTTCCCTGTTCAGATGACTCTGGCTTATGTCAGGTTGTTAAAAACTAAGACCACCTGAGCAAGCTAGCAACATGTAATAGCCAGACAAACATGCTCTTGGCTCAGGCAAGAGGCTCTTCATTGATGAAGAGCCTCTTGTAAGGTGTAAGGTGGAGAATGGTAGGGAAGAACCCAGTGTCAACTTTGGGCCTGTACACACCACTCTCACACACATATACACACATGTGGGCACACATAATGTGTCTAAAGAGAGTTTTCCATGTTGCAGACATTCTAGTTGATTTCCTTTTGGAGGTGGCCCTGCCCTTGTGCTGGGAATCTCTTGGAGTTTAGTGTCTTTGCATTTACTTTGAGGCTAGCCTGAGCCACCCGGGGTTTCAGGATCCTGTGTCAATACACTCGCAGGAGAGGGGAGAATGAGAGTGCTCCCTCAGGAGCTGCTGTGCTGACTAGGCTGGCACCGTGGGCCCTTCAGCTGAGGACCTAGCTATGCTCTGAGGTCCAGGTGATCAGCAGGGGCCACAGAGCCTGTGGGAGGTAGCCAGGAAAAACTGCCCCGTGGAGAGGACCTTTCTGTCCTCTCAGTGATGAATCAGCTAGGATGTCCATGGAGTTGAAGGGGCCACAGCAGCTGTGCTGGTGGGAGGAGCCAGGACCTGCACCCTTTCTCACGCTGAGAGCGTAGTACACGCGTATTTGCATCCTGGAAGCGCACAGAAGCTCCCACAGCCAGCATTGACAGTGTTCCGGAGGCCAGAGTGCAAGCTAGCAGTGTGTGACTCTGCCTCCATGCTGACCTGGCCCTGCCTCTCTCTCTCCCCCTCAGTGCACTGTCCAGGTGAAGTTAGAGCTGGGGCACCGTGCCCAGCTGCGCAAGAAGCCCACCACTGAGGGCTTCACCCATGACTGGATGGTCTTCGTACGTGGCCCTGAGCAGTGTGACATCCAGCACTTCGTGGAGAAGGTCATCTTCCGACTGCATGACAGCTTCCCCAAACCCAAGCGTGGTGAGTGCCCCCCTTTCCCTGGTCCTCCCTACCAGTGCCCCTCCAATTCCAGCCTGGTGGTGTGACTAGTGACTGCCCCACCCACTCATGGGAACTGGAATAGCCAAGAACCAGCGCAGGCCAGAAGCAGTCAGGGTTATGGTTTAAGAATTCTGAGGGTCTCACTGGGTAGACAAAACCACTGTTAAGAGCAGCCCCATGCCCAGCAGTAGATGGCCAACACAAAATGAACTCAGTGGTATTTTGGGAGGGTTTTTTCCCTTTTGTCTCACAGTGCTTTGGGTTCTCCCTCTTACAGATCTTTGACTTGTTACTTGTGGGATTTCTTTGTGTGTGAACGTGTGTGTCTCAGCATCTGTACCTATTTCTTGTGCTTTCTCTTTAGCTCCTTTTTTCCCTTACTGTTTGCTTTTTTCTATTCTGGTTTGTTTGTTTTTGTTTTATTTTGTATTGTTGCTTTTAGATGCCTGTTTGTATTCTAATGAGAGAGGGGAAGAAAGAATGTGGATTTGGGTGGGTGGGGACATTGGGGGGGAATCTGAGAGGAGTTGGGGGAGGGGAAACTTATCAGAATATAATGTATGAAAGAATCTATTTTCAATAAAAACCGTATACTCTTTAGGGTAGGATTACAGGCACTCCTATATCTACTGTCCTTGCATATGCATCTCTTTCTGGGTACCATTTTACTGAAGCTGCAGTGCCTGCTTCCCATCACTCTTCTCCACATTTCCCTACTTGCCTCAGGAGTAGCTTCCCCGGGAGGGTGGGTGGGTGGGGACAGTCTGTTGGGATTTGTGGAAGGTTGTCCTGGCAGACTTTGGCAGGTGGTCTCTGTCAAGTGTGTGTGTAGGGTGGGTCGCCTTCTGCGCTGCTGAGTCTCTGCTCTGCTCAAGCTGACCACGGCCCTGCCCCTCACTGGGGGATCAGCTACCAATAAATACTGTTTCCTTGGGTGTGTTAGTAATGGACAGAATGCTTTTCTGTAGTGAAGATCTATTTCTTTAGATGGAGAGAGCTGTTGCCGGACCGTTTACCTTTGACATTGCTATGTGGACTGTAGCTCATGGATATTGACTATGGGCTTGCAATAGGTGATAGATGTCACATTGAAGGTTATGCTTGGGGCCAAGCACTTCTAAGGGCAGCGGGAGTTTCTTTTTTCTGCTTTACTATTTTTTTCTTTTTCTGGCTTTGTGCTGTCCATCATAATTTTCCCCCTTTGCTCATCTTCTCTATTTCTACCTGCCTTTCTTCTTCCTTCTCTTCACATACCTATCTATGACCTGCCTGCCACTTAGCATTCCATCGCCCACCCACACCCACACATTTGTCACCACTCTCCCCACCCATCCATCCTAGCTGCCTGCGCTCTCCCCTACCTGCCTGCCCACCCATCCATCCTTCTAGCCATCTACTTACCCACTTGCCCACCTAGCCACATGGCCATCCACCCATCCGCTCTCCTCATCTTCCCCCAGCACCTTGGTTTCCTCCATCTTAGAATGTAGCAGGCATGGCTGCCTCGCATAGCAGGTGTTCTTGGACGTGTCAGACAGGCGCCTATCTCCTGATAGCCCTCATGGGTGAGCAGTCAGCTCAGTGGTGCAGGCTGCCCGTCAGCTGGCTGCAGTGGTGCATTCCCTGCAGCCTCTGTACTCTAGAGAGTCATACATTGATGAATATGCCTGGACTATACGATGAGACCCTGTGTAGCTATCTAGGCTAGTCCTGCTCGTGCCCAATGCCAAGCTCACATCAGTTGCTTTGTCTGTGGGACTGGCATCTGCAGAGACCTGAGTCCTCCACAGTGTTTACTGAGTACACATGACCTCTTTCCCTGTCAGCTTTGGCTGGTGGCTGAGGACCTGTGATATAGACTTGTCTCTCCAGGAACCTTCACAGCACTCTGGGGGTGGCTGCCCCTCACCCACCATGGTTCTACACTCATGCTCCAGCGTTGGGGGTGGTGGACAGTGAGACTGATTGTACAGATGGCAGCTCTGACTGCAGATCAGGCTAAGGGTGGTGCAGCTGGCTGTTGTCTGGACCTCACCTCCGAGTTACTCTTTGGAGAGCACTTGAGGTCATTGCAGGGTCAGAAGGCAGGTGCTTTTCATCATTTGTGGTTCCCTGAGCCTCCTGAGTGCCCCACCCTGCCCCGCAGTGACATCTTCTGTGGCCTGGACTTGCTTTTTCCCTGGGTGTATTTGTCTGCCCTCCCTTCATCCTGTAGAGTTTGTGGTGCATTGCAACTATCCTCAGGCCTCTCTCACAAGATGCTCCTCTGTGCCCTCCTCCTCTGCGCCCCTCCCACTCTGGGATCTTGAGGGGCTGTTAATGAGGAGGTAGTTTCTAGTCAGCCCTGGCTCACTGGAAAGGCCATTGCCGCCCAGCCACACTGCTGGTGAGGTTGGACCTTTATTGTTAGTTGTTTTTTTTTTTTTTCTTGAGCCTAGGCAGGCCTCGAACTAGCTCTGCAGCTGAAGATGACCTTGAACTCTTGACCGCCCTGCCTGCTTCTGCTGCTGGTGTGCTGGGGTGACAGGTGTGAATATACCAGACTGCCACACCCAGGTGGTGGAGGCCAGGGTTTATGTTCCTTGGGTAAAGACTACCAAGTGAGCCAGGCCCAACCTGTTGAGATAGGGAGTCACTATGTCACCCAACTTGGCTTCAAACTTTGTGGCAGTCAGCATGAGCCACCACTGCCTGGTTCATGATTTTTTAATTTTCTTGAGTCAGGGTCTTGTACCCCAGCCTAAACTGACTTCCAGTTTGTAGCTGAAAATGACCTTGAACTTGTACTCCTGACTCTCCCCTGTCCTAGAATGCTGTGCTAGGAGCCCAGCACAGCCCAGCACAGCCCAGCACAGCCCAGCACAGCCTAGCACAGCCCAGCACAGCCCAGCACAGCCCAGCACAGCCCAGCACAGCCTAGCACAGCCCAGCACAGCC